GCCAGGCCTGAGGCAGGAATCTACATTTCCTGCCCCGAGAACCGCCGCCCTTTCGGATCACATTTGCAATGCACGTCGATTGATTGTACTAGTTGTGTACAACAGCGGGTCTCGAACTCGCGCCTCCTGTTCTACATTACACGCCAGTGAGGCGCGCTAATCCACTCTGCCATTGGCCGGCACCGTTCGAAAAGGCGATTTGTGGCCGGGTGAAGAGTGCGTAGAGCAGTGCATGTGCCTGACACGCTGTATGATTTGAATACACCACGATGGGAGTTCAGCCCTTTGAATGCAGTCGCCGGCAGCGACAAATAATGACAGGGGCACTTTGACTACCGTAACTCTTGAACCATTCGCCCTGGCAACGTAATCCTCACGGATTCTGAAAGCTGACAACCGAAACTTTGTGCTGACATATCATACATTACGGTAGTGGCAGCAGCTTTCAACTGCTTCGCCGGAAAACGGGGTCTATTTGGCAGTTTATCTTTGTATATATGATATTCATCCTCGTATATATTATATTTATTGTTGTATATCATAGTATTAGAGTTCATTCAATAAGTTTTGAGTGTGGTTTTGCGCTGTTTTGTGGCTAAACCAATCAACTTTCGGACAAAAGTTGGAAGAAAGATGAGCTGTCAGCAGTTTGTGACTGCAAGGAATAACAGGTGAATAAGAAAGCGCTGCCAGCTTTCTATTTGCACAGTTTGGATGAACTTTTGGCAATAATATGAACAGTTGCAGCCCATGAGACTGAGTTTGTCCAATAGAGTGGCGATGCCTGACCTAATGTTATTTGGATAGAGCCCAATGAGAATGTTGAGAGTTTATGTTTTGTCTGTGAAAATTGCGTGTGTTTTGAGTGTGTTCTGAAGGCAGGTGCGTATTGTGAGGGCCTATGCGTGTAGACGTGTACAGTGCTGAAAAGCAAACCAAAAACAATTGCCAGCCAGGCCTGAGGCAGGAATCTACATTTCCTGCCCCGAGAACCGCCGCCCTTTCGGATCACATTTGCAATGCACGTCGATTGATTGTACTAGTTGTGTACAACAGCGGGTCTCGAACTCGCGCCTCCTGTTCTACATTACACGCCAGTGAGGCGCGCTAATCCACTCTGCCATTGGCCGGCACCGTTCGAAAAGGCGATTTGTGGCCGGGTGAAGAGTGCGTAGAGCAGTGCATGTGCCTGACACGCTGTATGATTTGAATACACCACGATGGGAAGTTCAGCCCTTTGAATGCAGTCGCCGGCAGCGACAAATAATGACAGGGGCACTTTGACTACCGTAACTCTTGAACCATTCGCCCTGGCAGCGTAATCCTCCCGGATTCTGAAAGCTGACAACCGAAACTTTGTGCTGACATATCACACATTACGGTAGTGGCAGCAGCTTTCAACTGCTTCGCCGGAAAACGGGGTCTTTTTGGCAGTTTATCTTTGTATATATGATATTCATCCTCGTATATATTATATTTATTGTTGTATATCATAGTATTAGAGTTCATTCAATAAGTTTTGAGTGTGGTTTTGCGCTGTTTTGTGGCTAAACCAATCAACTTTCGGACAAAAGTTGGAAGAAAGATGAGCTGTCAGCAGTTTGTGACTGCAAGGAATAACAGGTGAATAAGAAAGCGCTGCCAGCTTTCTATTTGCACAGTTTGGATGAACTTTTGGCAATAATATGAACAGTTGCAGCCCATGAGACTGAGTTTGTCCAATAGAGTGGCGATGCCTGACCTAATGTTATTTGGATAGAGCCCAATGAGAATGTTGAGAGTTTATGTTTTGTCTGTGAAAATTGCGTGTGTTTTGAGTGTGTTCTGAAGGCAGGTGCGTATTGTGAGGGCCTATGCATGTAGACGTGTAAAGTGCTGGAAAGCAAACCAAAAACAATTGCCAGCCAGGCCTGAGGCAGGAATCTACATTTCCTGCCCCGAGAACCGCCGCCCTTTCGGATCACATTTGCAATGCACGTCGATTGATTGTACTACTTGTGTACAACAGCGGGTCTCGAACTCGCGCCTCCTGTTCTACATTACACGCCAGTGAGGCGCGCTAATCCACTCTGCCATTGGCCGGCACCGTTCGAAAAGGCGATTTGTGGCCGGGTGAAGAGTGCGTAGAGCAGTGCATGTGCCTGACACACAGTATGATTTGAATACACCACGATGGGAAGTTCAGCCCTTTGAATGCAGTCGCCGGCAGCGACAAATAATGACAGGGGCACTTTGACTACCGTAACTCTTGAACCATTCGCCCTGGCAGCGTAATCCTCCCGGATTCTGAAAGCTGACAACCGAAACTTTGTGCTGACATATCACACATTACGGTAGTGGCAGCAGCTTTCAACTGCTTCGCCGGAAAACGGGGTCTTTTTGGCAGTTTATCTTTGTATATATGATATTCATCCTCGTATATATTATATTTATTGTTGTATATCATAGTATTAGAGTTCATTCAATAAGTTTTGAGTGTGGTTTTGCGCTGTTTTGTGGCTAAACCAATCAACTTTCGGACAAAAGTTGGAAGAAAGATGAGCTGTCAGCAGTTTGTGACTGCAAGGAATAACAGGTGAATAAGAAAGCGCTGCCAGCTTTCTATTTGCACAGTTTGGATGAACTTTTGGCAATAATATGAACAGTTCCAGCCCATGAGACTGAGTTTGTCCAATAGAGTGGCGATGCCTGACCTAATGTTATTTGGATAGAGCCCAATGAGAATGTTGAGAGTTTATGTTTTGTCTGTGAAAATTGCGTGTGTTTTGAGTGTGTTCTGAAGGCAGGTGCGTATTGTGAGGGCCTATGCATGTAGACGTGTAAAGTGCTGGAAAGCAAACCAAAAACAATTGCCAGCCAGGCCTGAGGCAGGAATCTACATTTCTGCCCCGAGAACCGCCGCCCTTTCGGATCACATTTGCAATGCACGTCGATTGATTGTACTACTTGTGTACAACAGCGGGTCTCGAACTCGCGCCTCCTGTTCTACATTACACGCCAGTGAGGCGCGCTAATCCACTCTGCCATTGGCCGGCACCGTTCGAAAAGGCGATTTGTGGCCGGGTGAAGAGTGCGTAGAGCAGTGCATGTGCCTGACACGCTGTATGATTTGAATACACCACGATGGGAAGTTCAGCCCTTTGAATGCAGTCGCCGGCAGCGACAAATAATGACAGGGGCACTTTGACTACCGTAACTCTTGAACCATTCGCCCTGGCAGCGTAATCCTCCCGGATTCTGAAAGCTGACAACCGAAACTTTGTGCTGACATATCACACATTACGGTAGTGGCAGCAGCTTTCAACTGCTTCGCCGGAAAACGGGGTCTTTTGGCAGTTTATCTTTGTATATATGATATTCATCCTCGTATATATTATATTTATTGTTGTATATCATAGTATTAGAGTTCATTCAATAAGTTTTGAGTGTGGTTTTGCGCTGTTTTGTGGCTAAACCAATCAACTTTCGGACAAAAGTTGGAAGAAAGATGAGCTGTCAGCAGTTTGTGACTGCAAGGAATAACAGGTGAATAAGAAAGCGCTGCCAGCTTTCTATTTGCACAGTTTGGATGAACTTTTGGCAATAATATGAACAGTTCCAGCCCATGAGACTGAGTTTGTCCAATAGAGTGGCGATGCCTGACCTAATGTTATTTGGATAGAGCCCAATGAGAATGTTGAGAGTTTATGTTTTGTCTGTGAAAATTGCGTGTGTTTTGAGTGTGTTCTGAAGGCAGGTGCGTATTGTGAGGGCCTATGCATGTAGACGTGTAAAGTGCTGGAAAGCCAACCAAAAACAATTGCCAGCCAGGCCTGAGGCAGGAATCTACATTTCCTGCCCCGAGAACCGCCGCCCTTTCGGATCACATTTGCAATGCACGTCGATTGATTGTACTACTTGTGTACAACAGCGGGTCTCGAACTCGCGCCTCCTGTTCTACATTACACGCCAGTGAGGCGCGCTAATCCACTCTGCCATTGGCCGGCACCGTTCGAAAAGGCGATTTGTGGCCGGGTGAAGAGTGCGTAGAGCAGTGCATGTGCCTGACACGCTGTATGATTTGAATACACCACGATGGGAAGTTCAGCCCTTTGAATGCAGTCGCCGGCAGCGACAAATAATGACAGGGGCACTTTGACTACCGTAACTCTTGAACCATTTGCCCTGGCAACGTAATACTACCGGATTTTGAAAGCTGACACTCAAAGTTTAGGCTGACATATCATACATTACAACTGCTTCGCCAGAATAGGAGGGGGGGGGGGGTCATTTTGCACAGTAGAACTTTAAGAGGCTTGACTTGGATCAGCAGGGGCAGCAAAGCAGCAATTCACTGGATAATCCAATGCAGGCAACTAAATACGGATATTACAGGACCATAAGTGTAGATAAAGTAAACCTTTGTAGATTCAAACCATGGTACAACCTGGCTAAATGATTTCTAAATGAATAAATGTTATATGAAATGGTTTGTCCTAACAAAAGTTTGAATCCTCCCTGCCTCGATAGTCAGGCGCTCTAATCCACTCTGCCATTGGCCAGAACTGTTCGAAAAGGCGATTTGTGGCCGTATAAAGAGTGTGTAGAGCAATGTATGTGCCTGACCAGTAGCGGTTCTAGGCACGGGCGAACAGGGCAGCCGCCCGGGGCGGCATTTGTGTTGTGACTCATGGGGGGCGGCACGAGCACTTCCAAAAAAATAAAATAAAAGATAATAATAATAAATCGGTTTTGTATTAACTCTTGTTGTCAAATTGCCCCCCCCCCCCCCCCCCCCCCGGGGGGACAGCTCTGCTCTGTGTACGCATGTCAGCATATCAGCGGGAGCGCGGATACGTCATTTTGTAGTTTTTTAATCATTTCTGGAGTCGTGGTGAATGAAATCACCGTACCCGTCTGCCTTTGATAGGCGAATAAAGCGCTCGGGTTCATGCCCGGATCTTGCTACGTGCTTGATGAGCTTCATGAGTGAAGTAAACAATGACAGAGGCAGAGAGCAGCTTCAGAGGAGAAACATCCAGCAGTGTGAACAACCTCTTCATATTGAGTGCTTTGGTTCACACAATCAGCGTTTTCTGTGAGTGTTGCATGACTTTGGGTGAGAACAGAGATGAACACACTGTCAGCCACCTATTTATTTATTCATTTTTTTAGTTTTTAGTTCTGCTTTTGTACTGGCACTATACTGGGGCAGCTGTATACCCTTTCAACACCTTATTTTCTATATTTACATTTGTATTGAATGGACACTTTATCATGACTGCCACTTGTTTTACAGAAAACAAATTATTTGTCATTCTCCAGTGCAGAGCCTTTACTTTTATTTATTCAGCCGCTTTATTTCATTTAAGTTTGTTTGTTCAAGGTTTTCAAAAATGTGATGAAGGTTCGCAAAACTAAAAGAGAGCTTTCTTGAAAGCCACATGTTTAAGCTCTCAAATACTTTTTGAGTTTTGTTTCTATCTACTACAGAGGCTGAGATAGCAGCTTTTTTGGAGGGGTGCTCGCCCGCGGAGTAATTTGGTCTAGAACCGCCACTGTGCCTGACACACAGTATGATTTGAATTCACCACGATGGGAAGTTCAGCCCTTTGAATGCAGTCGCCGGCAGCGACAAATAATGACAGGGGCTCTTTGACTACCGTAACTCTTGAATCTGCCCTGGCAACGTAATACTGCCGGATTTCGAAAGCTGACAATCAAAGCTTTGTGCTGACATATCATACATTACGGTAGTGGCAGCAGCGTAACGATATATTAATACACCAGGATGGGAAGTTTGTCGTGATGACAAAAAGTTTTGTCTCTGAAAGACTTAATTGAGGGCAAGAGAAGCTTAAACTTTGACCAATACGTTTTAGTGTTACAACGAAAACAAAGACTCAATGTTGAGGATCGTTTGTTTAGTTGGCGGGATGATGATAGAACTCAAAAAATACTTCAGTAATTTATAAATAAAATACTATGTTGCACCCACAGTCGTTCGTAGCAGTTTCTTATGTGAACACTGTATTTCAAAGAGCTGTTAAAATCACTTATTTTCAGCATCCATCCTGTAGACAGGTGGCGCCCCCTGGTGGATGAATGAGATCCATGCTCGATTCTGCTGTATTTTTCCACATTCTGTGGAGTCTTGGAAATTCTGATGCTTAGTATTTTTTATAATTCTTGAGTGTTTACAAGATAACTGTTCCTGCTGATCTCAAAATTGTAACCAGGTGATTTTTCTTGATCAGACCTCATGAGAACTTTACAGGTGTGCACAGATTGTTCAATACACTAGTTTCATAGTTTTACAGCGTCTCCTCTTTCCATGCAAACTCATGTACAAGGTTAAAGACAGAAAGTTCCTCTAGAGATGAAGTTCAATAAATATGATTTTTCTGCTGTCTGAGATCACAGAGTTTGGAGGATTCTGGGAGAGGTATGGTATTTTTGGCCAGAAATAATAAAAAGACTGACTCTTCAGTTTCTTTTGTTTACCCCCCACAAAACAAAAACACCAAAACATGACTAACTCAACACTTTTATTGTAAATCATGGAGGAAAACAAAACACGCTGTGTGTCAGGACTTAGGGGGAAGTTACATCAGAAACATGTGGTACAGGTTGTAGTTTTTTTAGGAGGTGTCCATTGTCTGTATGGTTTCCTCCACCACCTCCAGAGCCAGCGGGGTTACCATCTTCGTTAGCACACCTGTGGTTCCTCGTTTGTACTTGTAGTCACCGGTTCTGCAGCAGAGAGGAGAAAACACAAACATTTTACTCAAAGGAGATGTAAACTGGGGATATTTAGAGTGTAACACACATAGATATATATAAACACTAGCTGGATTACGCACGCTGTTAGCCAATGGAGACTGACGTCAATGCATGGTGGCCATCTTGCTTCAAGCAGCTTGCCCACTCATAACATTACAGTATACGGTGCATGTTGCATTTAAATAACCATAGACTGATTAATTTCAAACCGATTTTCAAACGGTTTGGTTTGTAACAAACCTCAGAGTTTTAGTTATGTTTCTGTACACTCATGACTAATTTTAATCCATGGATTTTCATAAATAAACATTAAGCAGATAGGTAGAGCAATAGCCGTAGGCCTACACACACAAGGCAGTTATATCATTTATATATAAAACATTGAATTATTATTATTATAGAAATTAAAATCTCGATTGTGGTCTCAGCCTTGACAACTTGCCCAAAGCCACTCAAAAGTTAGCCCTTGCGCGCAAATAGCCGTGAAACAACTGTGCTGTAAGAAGTAAGATGGCCGCTATGTATGGACGCCGGTGACTCCGCCTCGATTCATCTAGCCTTTCTTATATATGTCTATGGTAACACACACTCAGGTGGTTTTGTCTCTATTAGCACAGCATGCACATGTTAGTGATGTAAACTCAAACTGAGAGCACCAGAGCTTAGAGGTTTAAAGAGCCGGTTAGTCAAATGCTTTCAATCAGTGTGTCGGCTGTTAGTTCTGCACTCTGACATCATCACTCTGTTTCTGTACTCACAGCTGTGAGACTCCCCCCTCATTCACTCTTCAACAGAACAAGCAATAGGACATCAAGTCAGCCGGTTAGTGGTTTAAAATACTGATTGTAACATGCTGTATGAGGATCTGACATTACATGATACACTGTCCTGGACTTTGCACAACAAGACACTGGTGAGCAGCTTTTAAAAAAAAAAAAAAATGTACATCATGATTTCTGGACTACATGAAACATGGCTGACACTGGCTAGTCTGAAAGTCGTAAGTGCCACAGGCTTCCCCTCTCTCTATGAGATGACAGTTTTAATATGTTAGAGAGTTTAGGAGGATAATGTGGGTGAATCTATAAAGGACGGGGGTTAACTGCAGACAAACTGCTGTAAAAGGTGTGGTCCTCACCTGACGCCCTTCTTGTTGGCCTCATCATGTGGCCTGATGTAGTCCACCTTTCCTTTAGTGATCACACACAGGTCGATGTTGCTGCCAGAGCCCAGGTCATTAAAGATTCCTGCGGCGATAGCGTCTCGCACCATCTGCTTGGCCTCGTCCTCCTTCAAGGAGACAAATAAACACTGGCATCAGTTTTACCTGTTGGGCAAACCTAACTCATTGTAGGAGTTTACAGCTTAGACTGCCTGACAATGATGATCTCACCTCCATGTCAGGTTTGTATCGGTCCTCAAACACAGCCATTGCAGCAAGAGACCCAGAGCCTGCAGGAGAGAAAAACACTTACGTGAATATCATGTTGAGTTAAGACATTATTTAAAGACAGTCGTTTCAATCAGAGCAAGTCAGCTGGGCTGGCTGCTGAACTTTAATATCGTAAAGACACTGAGTGTGGGCAGAATCAAACCAATTTTACTTTTATGAACCACTAAACAATAACAACAAAGGTAAAATAGACTTTTGTTTAAATAGCACTTTCTTGTCTTCTGAACACTCAAAGTGCTTTGAAGGGATATTTCAGTATTTTTGCAGAGAGACTGTTTGAGTTGAATGTCATTACTTAGTGTTTTAGCAGCAATGGATGTTGGTCAGCTCGGCCCCTTTAATAAAAAACTACAGGGAGAACCGGCATGCATGCTAGGCTCAAGTTTTCCACAAACAGGGCGACTGTCTGCAGAAAACTGTCTCTTAGATGCAAAGAGGTCAGGGTCTGCACTTTCTTCTTCTACAGTCCTCAGGGACATGACGCTGTAACTAAAACATGATCATCATGCAGACACAGCGGTGCGAAGGTGTGTGACACTGACCCATGGTGACGTAGGGCAGCTTGTCGGTGGAACCGTGAGGGTAGATGCTGTACAGGTGAGGACCATTACAATCCACTCCGCCAAGAACCAGAGCCGCACCGATGTAGCCCTGATACCTAAACAAACACACACACACACACCAGCATCTTTACATATCTGTGCACACAGCAACTCTCTTTTTTTATACTTGGTTTTATGTGTAATGATGGTCAGAGCAGTGTACCTGAAGAGCATCTGTTTGAGCATGCGGTTGGCTGTGGCCACACGGGGCAGCCGTCCTGTGGAGAGCGCGTGCAGCTCCAGGTTGGACGAGATGATCTGAGTGGTCATCTCTGTGTCTGCAGCTGTTCCTGCTCCACAACAGCTGGACAAGGACAAAGTGCACTGATATGAATATAAAGGTTCGGTTTCATGCAAAAGAAGCTGACTACTGCTTGATACAGGACAAGTCTTCAAAGATGGTGTTGGACTGTACGGATTTATCACTCACTAAATGTTGGGGGAAATATAGTGGATCTTGGAGCAGTTCTTGTCTGCCACTACCATCCCCTCAGTGGCTCTGGTGTCAGCTCCCAGGATGACGCCATCCTGCACAGGACAAATATTGTAAATGTTATTGTAGTAATATTAGTCTGCAGCTTGTCTGGGCAACTTTGCCTGCAGCAGCCTGCCCAAAGTCACTCACCTTGTAGACAAGACCACAGATCGTAGTTCCTGTTTTACGAGCTGCAGGTAAACCGCATCCTACTTTGTTAGCTTCAGCTTCCAAAAGTGCATTTCTGAAAAAGACATTCAAACAATAGATTAAAACATAACTGTATGTAGGAAAATTAAACATCACGTTTATTGTGACCAAAATTATCACAGTTATCAATATTATCACGGTATTGTTGAAATATGTTCAAAATGTTTAAAAAGTTCTCATGCACGCCCTGAAATCGTTTAACAAAGTTTTATTTTGAAAAAAACAATCAAAATAACACGCAGAATGAACTTTTCCTTAACCTTAAATACAGAGGATTGATAGGCTTAAAAAATTAAAGATGAGGCCTTAAAAGAGCCAGAGCTAATCGACACTAGTACTAGTAATAACAAAGTACAGTGTAATGTGCCAGTGGCATAAACATTAACATAATAACAAATAAATAAAATCAGAATAAAATGACATTCCTTATTATACAAATTGTAAGAATCTTCAGTGCTCAAAAAAGATCTACTCTTACAAATATAAAACAGAGCAACACGACTATATGAATCAATACAACCACATGTAAACAAATGTGAAGTGCAGGTGTTTAAAATAACATAAAATATGTAAACAAATCAAATGAACCACACCCATTGTCCGTTTTCTCCACTATAAGGTGCTGCTGCTGATTTTGTTCAGTACTTGAGATGTAAAAATGTCAGCAGGTTTACTTTCCTGGTTTGAGTAGTGATCTGCGAGGGGAAACGACGTGCCCGCCTCTCGCAACACTTTGTAGAAGCCGAAATACGCCCAGACTTCGGACTTTGTTTTCTTTGACAGCAGAAAAATCTCTGCAACACAGTCGACAGAACTGCCCTCCGCCATGTTTACAAGTTGTAAACAAGGCGGAGGGCTGCGTGCAGCTGCTCTTCTCAGCACTGAGCAGTCTGAGATCAAATCAAACTCGGTTTTAACGGTAATTAAAAATTTGAAATGGTGGTACTAACCGTTAAGACATTTTAAGGCGGTTTATCATTTTACCGGTAATCGTTACATCCCTACTTCTATGTTTGACAATCATCAGAAAAGAAGTATACTACCATTTCAGTTGTTTAGCAGGTTTTACTTTCTTGTCTTTAAAGGCAATGTTTGATGAGACAATTCATCTCCAGTTTGTTCCAGTCTTAAAATGAAAATAACAGTGACAAAAAAAAAAAAAAAATTCTTTTTTAAGTTAGAATCTCCTTTACTGGTGAAGTATGTAGGCACCTAGGAGGAATACGACTCCGATTTTACATCACTCACAATATACAAAGAAACAATTCTACATACTACTAGACTACTACTACACAATACTAAATCACAACCACTACAACATACAAGTCTATAATACAGATAAAAAGCTTCTACTTTATATTTTCCATGAAAACAATATTTAGAAATAGGAATTTTAAGTATTTTTTGTATCATATTGCTCTGTGGTCTACAGCCAAAGCAACATAACATCAATAAATAAAACAGCTGCTTCTGGCTTGGGGAGAAACTGACAATGATATAAAGGAGAGGGACCCCCTCATTCTTCACCATAAATATGATTAACAAACAAGGATCTGCAGTCCACAAACTTTGATTTACATCAACAAAAAGGATGAGTATATAAACTTCAGGGAGTGTACATGCCGAATTCTCAAAAAAAAAAAAAAGCGTCTCTTTAATGATCAAAAATATCTTTACCTCAATGAAAATAAATCGAAGGCAAAGACATTACCTGACTTCCTAAAAAACAAAAGAAAAAGAGTGGATAGAATAAAAAGCTATTTTCACCCCTACTACTTCCAGGACTGTTTCTCAATTTACAACATGTACACTTACTTATATAAAACATAAACTCATTTTTACAAACCTTTTCATGGTGCTGTTTTTAACCAATTTTAAAATTGTAATACACCTATTTTTTCAGCTTTTTCCTCGATAACCTGTCTTTATCTCAGCAGTACTGACTGATACTCTGCTAACTCAGACAGCGGGCTGGATTATCCACACAAGAAATAGGACATCTTGTAATTTTCAATAAAAAAAACCCCGTTTGCCAAATATGTTTTTGTTGTGTTACTCGAATACACAAGTGAAATTTATTAAACTACTGAACTTTGTTAGGATCGATTATTTCAGAGAGTTAACATTAATGCTAGCGGAGGAAAAGCCTTAGTCATTGTATGGACTGAACATGAGTTAGCATCACTGAGAACACGAAGTAAAAACTCCTCTATTGTACACTCAGTCTTCCCAGAAATGCTAAACACATGTTTAATTTTAATATTGTCCTTTATCTAGCGTAGTTTATTCCCAGTAAAAGGCACCTACCTCTTACAGTTGTCGAAACTGAAACCGCTGAACGGCGGCCGGCTCACTGTCAGAGTCGCCATCTTGGGGAATTGAGGTCTGTGTTTCCCGGAAGTAGAGGAAGCCGTTGCCTGATACTGCGTTTCTTCTTCTACGTTCGTATTGCAGGCAGTTAGGGTCCCAAATGTTGGATTACGAAATACTCTTCATTTTTTGTTAAATGCTGTCATGTTTATATCAGTAAACTAAGCATTTTATGTCAAACATTACGTTTTTATCTCGTAATTCTGTCCTTATTTCCAACATTTTTTCTTAAACTTCACCTTTTGACATGAATTACAGAAGCGTTTTATTTTTTTTCCTATGGAGGGGCTTCCAAATGGCACTCTTTTTTACATTTCTTACGAGAAAGTATTAGGCAAGTATCCTTTAATAAGAATCTATTTTCGAATGGAGGGGTATTAAGAGATTTAATCTGATAGAAAAACAACCAGAGGACACAATTTTTGTGTTTATCTTTTTCACTTTACCTTATTGAAGGGCATTAAATAAAAAAAAGTAACGGTGTCAGCTCGTACATCATAGGTTATCACAACCTATTGAGTAAAAGAGAATCCAGAGGGGGTGGTTTTTACATTTAAAGCAATGAAAGGGACATATCTTTTACTTAGTTACTAGAAAGGCATCAAGAGGCCTTTTCTCTGTATTCTAAGAAAGGAAGAGTATGCAGAGGGCACTTTTTTCTTTAAATCTCACATAATGGCAAAGCATGCAGAGGTCAAGTCAGTTTTTACATCTTACTCAAGAGACAGGTTTCCACAGAACATGTTTATCCTTATCACTTTTAATCCCATGGAAGGAATATTTTACTGCATTTCACGAGTAGAAGGATATGAAGAGGGCACAAAATCTAATTTTATCCTAATTTATTTAATAGGATAGGATGTTTTATTTATTTATATAATAGGATATTTCATCATATTTTTTGAGGGGCTGCTGTGGCTTGGTTGGTAAAGTTGGTCACCTCCCTGTCAGAAGGTCTTGAGTTCGATTCCAGGGCTGTCCACATGCCTAAGTGTCTACTAGCTGTGTCCAGTACTGTGTGTGTGGGATTAGTCAAAACTGATTGGCTCTATACACAGCAGTCTTTAATGTTCACTTATGAATGTGATGTAAATGGATTAATATGAGGTGTAATGTAAAAAGTGCTTTGATTGATCAGAAAACTATAGAGAAAAAACTGCAAGAGCAGTTATTAGATTATTTTGCAATATGTTTCCCACTGAAGAGCGCCAGATCAGGCATTTCATACTGTTTTATCTGCTACATAGATACATTGTCCAAGAGGTACTTCTTGGGTGTTAGGTTCTAGGTATGAAAGAACCAGGTGGGGCAATGGCCTCCCTTGCTGGTCCTCTGAGCACAGAACTGGCAGTATGTAGTTTAATCATGTTGCCATATTTTGTTTGTAAAACAGGACTGATGCCAGCTTGGTGCCAGCTGAATGTCAAGGCCGAGTGGGATACAGGCTCCAGATCAGATACATCACCTCCACACAGCATGATGAGTGCATTACTCTGATTAAGCCTTTTATTAAAGCAGACAGGATGAAACAGGTGGATGAAGGTGTAATCATCAGGATCTCAGTGACTAAAAACAAAGATTTAATGTTTGACCTGCAGGAAGTCCATCTGCCTTCATGTTCCAATAAATCACTCTAAACGAAAGAACAAGAGTCTCTGTTTTCACAACATCTGAGGGAGGTGTTAGTCAGATTAGCAAAGGTTGATAAATTAGCCTTTATGTGGCAGATGTGACCTTGAGTAACCTCTTTGTCCCCACTCAGCTGATCAGAAGCTCCGTCAAGAGTTTTGCACAAACTCCTGTAAACTGACTGTCCAAAACACATTTGTTTATTAGCCATCTTTGAATAGTGTAGGAGTTTGCTTGGGATTTTTGGGTGGGTATTGTATTTATAATACAAGACACAGACATCAGTCACAGCTGAATACATCAAATCTAAAACTCTTTAGATGGTCACAGATCCTCTGAGTGTTAGTCTTGGTCATGTTTGGCATGCAGCATCTCCAGCAGCAGGTTGTTACAGTGCATCTCTCCGCTCAGGTGTTTTCCGTACAGGTAATCATCAGTGAGGGCGCTGAGAGAGCGTAGCTCTGACACACACAGCAGCAGGTGAGAAAAACGTTCCAGCAGGTGAGAGGGGGAGCTCAGAGTGTATTCCAGCAGAGCTCCTTCTACCTGCTCCTGCACACTAGAAATGAACTGATGATCCTCCAGCTGAGGAACATCTGTCAGAGAAAAAAGAGAGAAGTGATGACTTGGATCCCGTTCAGTTTGCTTTAGAGGAGGAGTCAATCATATGAATCTGCTTTTTAAACACCTGAAGGGGAAACTGATACTATTGATTGATTTTTTAAAAATCTGGTTTTAAAACAATTCACCCCAACATCTTAACTTGAACTTATCCCCCACATTAATATGAGTCCCAGCAGCAGAAAGGATCAGACTGTTATGAAGGATGCCTGTGGTTCTGTCATTGTCAGTTTGCTGAACCAGCCACGGTCCGGTCATCAATAACTTTGTGAAATCATATGAAGACTTAATGAAAACCACAAACATGATTATTGTTTTCAGGGAGTCATGAGCATAAAGGGTCAAATGAAGTCTGAACATCACAATTTCAACTTGTTTTCAAGCAGTTAAAATACAAAAACAAAACTAATCTTCTTATATTTAATTTTATTTTGTGTTTTTATTGCTGCAACTTGAGAATTTCCCAGTTTGAGATCAATAAAGTCTATCTATCTATCTATCTATCTATCTATCTATCTATCTATCTATCTATCTATCTATCTATCTATCTATCTATCTATCTATCCATCTATCTAACATGTCAGACAACAGGATTTCCTCTTCAGATTTTGTAGATTGTTCTTTTTTTAAGGGGAAATGAAGGTGGGAACACTGGTTGTGATGGTATTAATCTAAAATTGCTCTCTTGGGATGTCAGAATACTGTCTGTGCAGTTATTATTATTTATTATTATCAGTTATTGAAAAGCATCAGCAGCACTGACCGGGATTAAAGAGAATGAGGAACCTGATGCAGGTGAACTCTGCGTGGTCCACCTGCATGATGAGAAGTCTCCTGATCAGCTCCTGTCCTCTGAGGACTAGACCAGCCATTATCGGACAAGAACTAGAGGAGATGTCTGAGAGCTCGATCTAAACCAGAGATAGGAAACCAAGATGAGGATACAATATCTGGACCTCTATATACAAATGTTTACACAGACTCACAGGCCAAAGACAGAAAGAAATCTATCTCCTGTCCAGCCCCTGATCCTTTTTTTTCTTTGTGCTCGCATTTTAAAACGTCTTTTCATAGTTATAAAAAAAGTTCTTACTTCCTGTCCGGTGACCAGCAGAAGACGTCCCTCTCTGCCGTAGAGAACCTGCCTGCACACTACGTCCAGCAGCAGCAGATTACACCAACAGCTCTGCAGCAACTTCATCTGGTCACTCACCTGAATCCAGAGGAAAAACGTACGAATCTGAGGCCCAGGTTTTTCCAGCTTATGGAGCACTTCCAGACATATTTATAGAGACCCGTAAGCAAGATCAACTTCTTTTAACAGACAGAAACCTTGAGGATAAGAGCCGACCAGATGTCTGCAGAGACCGAATGGACTGAGAAAGGGAGGTAGAGACAGAAACAAAACTGATAATATGCAGTAAAAACTACAAAAACACATGTACTGACAGCAAAGACGGTTAAAGACAGCTGAAGAAAGATGAAGTGATAAAACATTGAGGTCCAGAGGAAAGATTTCAATGGAGCAAAACAGCACAGGTGGGTTTCTCTCACTCTGAGCCGTCTGAGGAAGGTGGAGGTCCGCGCCCACTCCACTATGTGAAGCAGTGTCTGGTCAGCCATGATGCACATCAGGCTGAAGGTAGTGGGGGTCCACTGTTCCCCCCCTGCGGCTTTTTCCTTCAGGAAGTGGGCTGAGACCTTCTCCTGCAGCTGCAGCTCGTCTGGACCCTCCTGCTGGAGCTGCAGCACCAGCTGAGGAGTCCGGTAACGGCATGGAGAGGGGTTGAGAGGATCTGACATGAGTCCTGCTGCAGAGCTTGGTGAACTGGTGCTTGGAGGCTTGGACTTAAGGGTCCAGTTTGACAGGGGGTTGTTGTGGTGCAGGGGGGCAGCAGGAGAGATGGGGGTCAACAGGGGGCTCAGGGATGGAGGCTGAAGGCTGATAAATGGGCTCTGTAAAGTGGGCAGGGGGGCGCTGTGGAGGATGGAGACTGGGTAAAGGCCTTCAGTCAGGGCCCAGTCTGAGGAGATCAGAGGGGGGGTGCTCTCTGATCTGACCCCTCCTCTTTGAAACAGTGCTTTCCTCTGCTGCTTCAAAGCTCGATCTCGTTTGTACATCGGACCAAACTTGTTTCTGCCGCCTCGCATCCGATCTGCACGGACAGCTGAGAAGGAGAGGAGGAGGGTCAATATCCAGAGTGCTTCCTGTGGTAATACAGATTCTCCTGCTCAAGGGTTAAACATGTCAATTAAATCATCAAAATACCAAGCTGATGTAAAAATGTAGTAAAGAAGAAGTTTGTTCTCTACATTCAGGTTGCTGCTTTTAGTCAAAAGACAGAAATTAAGGCTCAAAATACTTTGAATAAATTGAATCGTGAGATACCTTTTGAGATTACAGCCTAAAATCTTCACTGTAATCAGTTTCTACCTTTGTAGTACACTTCAGACTTCAGAAATGAAAAAAATGGGGACTAAATTTAGCTTTTCTGGGTATTCTGCTTCAGAAAAAATGCATTAAAGAGGCTCTGTGGGCTGTATTTTATCTGACTTAAATACAGAGAGTTATAAAACAATAAACACAAGCATATGGCTTTTTGAAATTCAACACATCATTTCTGCATAGAAAATCACTGAATCAGTCTCCCCACGTGCATTCATTTCTAATCCTTGTGTTTGTTCATGCAGTAATCCTTTATAAAGTCTTCTCACACAGCACCACTTCCATGAGTTGAAAGACATGTACTCTGCCTGCAGCAACATTAAAGATCAATGTTCAAGTCTTCTTTCTTACCTTCCAGTCTCATCCCAACATGGAGACACTTCTGAAATCTGCAGAACGGACACCTTCTCCTCTGAGTTTTATCAATTCTGCACTCCTGATACTCCGCACAGACATACGTCTTATTGTTTTGGACTGTTCTTTTAAAAAATCCCTGAGAGGAAAGGATCTGGTTTAACAGACTGTAAAATATGTGTTTAATGAGCAGAACTGTAGTGAAACTTTTCCACAAATCAGAGAGTCCGAGTGTGTTAGAAAAACAGAAAGTACCTTACAGCTTTCACAAGTGAGCAGACCATAGTGATACCCAGAGACTTTATCTCCACAGACTGGACACATGTCCTCCAAATCATCAGGTCTGAGTTCCATTCTGGAAAACACACCTGGAAAAGGAAGGTAAGCTGCAGGAACAAACAGATTTGTTCATCCTGAGTCTGCAACAACTGCATAAAAAATGATCAAACTATCATATTTGTTTGGAAGCATTCAGAATGAATAAATGTACTGTGTTTCTGTTCAGATCTGAAACAAACCAGATTAAAAAGAAAACAAGAAGCAGAAATAAAGAGTAAGCACCAGTGACTGCCCCACCTGTGTAAGACACTGAATCTTTCTCTGCTACCTGAAAAAAAAAAGGTTCTATAAATGCAGAGTAAACCTACCTGCCGGAGTGAAGCGATCAGAGGTTTGTCATCCAGCAGGTGAAGGTCGCTGTCCGTGGTCCTGATCCTGCAGAAATCTAAGGTCCTGCCCCAGTTTGAAGCTGCAGCCAATCAGCATGTCCGATTATTGACTCACCTGTGTCTGTGTCAGTGAAGAGACTCTTTCAGGTCAAATCAAACCCTGAATACATCCTCAGTCTTCTCTAAGTGTTTTTACCAGACAGAGAGTCCATGGCAGAGTGCTCCTCATAGATTAATTTATTGTTTTTGTTCATCTTGCGCTGAAATGTGCCTAAAGTCAGAAGAATAAAAAAAAATTGAATGGTTTTTTTCCTGTGTCCACTGAGACTAGGTCAAAGGCCATCAATCAGGAACAAGTTTGTTCATTTTTTCCATCACATCATTTCAAAGAGGTCATGGGTGGTTGGATTAGTGCAAACTTCACTGCAGTAACTCAGCTGAGCAGCAGGTGGAGCTGTTGTATCAAGGATCCATCGGTCTGGTTAGACCATCAGCTGATTTTATTTTATAACCACTCCTACTCTTTTAATCACATCCTGAGCATAGAGGACTTTCTGATACACAGACTAATGACTGACATGCTGAACATAAATCACTCCCATATGAGGAAAGTAAAAATTCCCCAAATGATGAGTGAGTTTATTTCTTAATATTTAAAACATAAGAACCTCTCATCTCATATTCCCAGAAAACCTCCTCACATGTACCTTTGGTTTATATATAAGCCCTTTTTCAGGGAATTTAGCATTGATATGGTGAATGACAGGAGGGAGGAGGGACACCTGAGGACAAAGAGAGGGCGATGTGCTGTAAAGATGACCGACTGGAATCAAACCAGAAAACCTGACCAGGATAAGATCCTGTACATAGCTTACAGCTGGAATTTATTTATTTTCTCTCTGACCGCAAAAATCTTTAAGAGAAATTTGCATTAACTGAACAGTTGTAACGAAATTTGAGGAAAACTGTTTTCTGTTCACAGCTAAAATGCATTTGAGTCTTAAAAACCATGATAAACATTGCACAAACTACAACAATGATAAAGCAATAATAAAATCAGAGGAGAACAATACGAAGATAGATATTTGAAATAAAGACTATGGAGAGAAATAATCAATTTCCACTTAACCAGAGTTTACAGAATCTCACGTGTGCATAAATGTGAGTGAGATTCTGGGTTATAAAGTCCCTGGTGATGTTAATGTCCAGTGTTTTCCTTGAAAAATAATGATATGGCTTTAAAAATAGACCGGTCTTTGTGTAAAAGCCAGTGAAAAAGCAACAACAAGGAAATGGTTTAACCCCGAGCCTCTTCATCGCTCTCTAAAAAAAAAAAAAAGATGGACATGGTTTAGGAGGTCTTTGCAGTGGAAAGGAGACTTTAAGAAGCAATCTTTCCTGGAAAACAAGAGACGGGGACAATATTTGTGACTGAGGAGGAGGAGGAGGACCCTAGCTGGTCATGTGTCTCTTTGGTCAATACACCCAGAAAAATAAAGGTTCAATATAGAAACATATCATAAAGCTCATACTAGGCTCTCACAATGTAGAATAATCACTCCAAGCCTGAGGATTAAATCTAAACTAAATCAATGAAGTTGAGTACAGCATCGATAAATTAGTGGAAACTTACAGCAGGACAGTCAACACCGAGGGGGGACATCCTCAGGTTGGTACATTATATCTGGCCATGTCTTAATGTCTTATCTCAGAAACTAAATTTTCCCTCACACAGGACTTGTATGAAACAGATAAAGCAATGAAAATGGATCTCCTGAAAAATTCAAATGCTGTTGCTTTAACCAGGGATCCCTGGATATCAGCAAGTCGTCAGAACTGTCCCAGAAAAGCAGCACACCTCGTTGCACACCAAATGGACACTTTGTACATGCACTCCTGTAAATAACTTAATGTTTAACAGTTTTATCTTTAAAAGTTATAAAATAAAGCCTTTATGTTTGACAGAATGAACTCGCTGAAGCTGTCTCCCACTGCTTAGTCATGGTTTGAGACCACAATGCTGCAACAGATCAGCATTTATTACAATAATAACTTAAAAGTCATGTTTACAAAGTACATTTCATGGACTTTGTTAACTTATAATGTAAAAATGGACTTGAGAATTGATTTAAAATGTAAACTAATGGAATAAACGTGATCAAAATTGTGATTAACTGTGTTTAACTTTAGAAATTGGCCTATTAATTGTAATTCAAAAAATATATATTTTGTCAGCTTTAAAAAACAAACTAACAAAAATGGTTCAAATTCTTAAAAGTATGATGGCTTGAGTCTGTGAATTCAGAGCTGTAAAACTTCTGAACACATTAAAAATTAATGCAGAGAGTAAAAACTGAGCCGGCTAATGTCATTATAAAATATGGAGACAAAAAAAGGGAAAACTCAAAATCACAAACTCCAGCCTTCCCATTGTCAAAAGAGTAAAAAAGGAATTAAAATTAAACATTAAAAAATAATAAAATCTGAACAGCTCTACACCATTAAACAATTTCATCACCTCTTTCATCGTCTTCAACTCAGAGTCAAACTTTCATCGAGTTCATGATCGCTGGAATATTTCCAGATATTTTCTAAAGATCTAAAAAAGATGAGGCAGCAGCAGAGGATGTTTGAACTCTGGGTCCTTCCAGGTTGAATCCTTGAGATAGGAACTGAGATCTTCAGCATCTGGACAGAGTTCACAGGCGGTCAGAGCATCTGCGGGGATGTGGGCGGCTTTGCGAGATCCAGGAGCTCAGGGTGACTGCAGGCGTTTCTGGCAGATTTGAGGTCACGTCGGGCTGAGCTTCTGCACGGAGTTTATCCAAGCTTGGTTTTCTGGCAGAGGGTGTGGATGGAGGTGAACGCATAACATGGGCAGAAAATTTGTAACCAGCATGATTTACTTTTTAATGTCAGTTGTAGTTTAGTTAGTTGACAGTCCAAACTCAAAGATTTGGTTCCTGAAGTTTCGATCCAAAGCTTTTGTCGCTGATGACTCTAACAGATTACAGAACTGACGACCCAAACCAATCATCTTTTCATTATACAATAAAGTGTTTCCACCTGTTCGGACTGAGCACATCTTTTCATCTGGATCCCGTCTTACTCTGTAGATCCCATGGTTTGTGTGAGTGATCCTGTGCAAAGGCAGAGGAATCCAGGATTGTTTCTCCAGCTCCTGCACAGTCACAGAGCACACAGAGGACGTAGAGAGGATGAGGCTTTTTGTTTTCTCAGGGAACATACAGCTGAGGTCCAAAGTTTACACACACTCACCAGGGACGTGTGTGTTATGGCAGGCTTATGGCAACATATATAACTGTACCAGCTGGCTGCAAACCACAAGAGATGGGAGTTTAGCTCATGTTAATTGCGCAAGTTTAACAAGGAGATCATTTGTGTTTATTGTTTGTTGCATCTCTTGCCTTTACCCAGTCTCACACGCATGTAAGTAAAGGATCACTGGTCACGGGTCGGATAAAATCTGGCTCATGAACCCAAAAAACTTAAGGAGAATACCATTAATGAGCTTTCATGCACTATCATACAGCTTTAGCATGCAAGTGAATCACTCTTGCTGGTAAATAGTGTTTGTAAAAAGTTGTTGGAGGAACAAACAAACAGGCTTGTTATCATCTCCCGCTTCAAAGTCAGCACCCCTGATGGTGTAATGATCATCAGGGTCCATGTCATGGGTAGTTTTCACATCTGTGAAGGCTCCATTAATGCTGAACAATATCTACAGGTTTAGGAGCAACATATGCTGACACCCAGACAAAGACTTTTTCAGGGAAGACCTTCATAGTTCAGCATATTTTTGATAAAACCACATTCTGCCGGGAGTACAACAGCAGGGCGCTGTAGTAGAAGAGTCCTGCTGCTAAACTGGTCTGCCTGCAGTCCTGACTGGTCACCCATTGAAAACATTTGGAGCATCATGATACAAAAATACAACAAAGGAGACCCTTGAGTCATAAAAAAGATTTGCATGAACTATTTGCAGTTAAATCACTTTAATGAAAAGGTTATATCCCAAATCATACTGAGGTACAGTGTGCTCATTGTTATCAGTGTCAAACTAGAACTTGAGTATAGACCCCCTGATCATTTCTTTTCTGTTTGGATTTAGGGATGATGTGGTTTCATTTGCACACATTGTGTGTGTGTGTGTGTGTGTGTGTGTGTGTGTGTGTGTGTGTGTGTGTGTGTGTGTGTGTGTTTTTTTTCCAAAGATTTGACAATAAACACAAAAACAGCCAGCTCGTGACAATGTTGACCACAAAAGTGACTCAACCTCTGGTTTCAAGATATTTGGTAATTTACATTTAGACTAATAGTTTCCTGGTACTTAAGTTTTGGTAACTTGAATACAACACTGATTGGGACAATGGGACACATCCAGTTTATCACTGGGGTTTCAGGCCCTCTCTTGCTGGATCAAACTGCTGGAAAAATAAAAGGGATTTTGTTTGTCTAATTCATAAACTAAAACCGGTCCTTCAATAAAATGCATTGGTTGCTTTAGACAGAAGTTTTTGCATGAGAAAAAAAATAACCCCTCAGTTTCTAAGAATTTTTTCTGAAACTCTGTGAATGTTGCATATCTAAATTTCAAAGTCAAAGTCCTTGCCTGGAGCACCCTTCATGTCCTTAATACTTTAATAAGAAGCTGAGTTTGTCTGGAGGACAGCAGCTTCAGGAAGGAGGATGGATCCCATCTATCTCTCATGTATCTAACTCAGGATTTCCGCATTGAGGCGCTCAGTTTTGGAAAAAGCTAAGTGGGATTCAGCGAAGAAAATATAAACCAGGTGTATTTAGTACAACCAGCCGTCACCATTTTATCCACTGCTGTCTCCTTTTCTTTGATAATCTGCCACTGTTCAGGTCATCTCTGAACTGAACGTTTATATGAGAGGTCTTTCAAAAAACAGGATGTGATTAAGTGTACACCTGTAAAGGGGTTTAAAATTCCTGGAGGACTATTAGATATGTGGTTTTAATCCACCACCATGTGGATATTTGGTTTGATCTAACCATGCAGCTTTAAATGCGTA